ATTTTGAGAGTATGTTCATTAAAGCTGGGACGGTGAAACAAAGGAAGGGCTGAAGATAGAAGAGGCAAGAACATGGAATGAGGAGTGAGTCACACTGGGCTGTGTGGCCTCAGGAAAGGAGTCACAGAGGCTAAAGGAGAGTCCTTAGGCAAGTTACTGGGGTTAGTGCAGAACAAGCGGCTGCTGCCTGCTGCTCCCCTGGTTACAAGTCTCCTGGGCACCCCTAGAGTTTAGGAGAAGGAGAGTAAACATAGGAGCCTGAGAAAAGGGGGGCATGGGCATGCTCCAGGGAGAGTGTGAGCTGGGTCCTCGTCTTGACAGTTCTTACCTGTTTTCTTAAGGTGGGACTTTGAGGAGGTCTCAGGGGAGGGTCTTCACAGAATATTCAACAGCTTTCCAGGTGTGTCCCTCAATACGCCAGTGCATCCAATGGGCCTATATGGGAGTCTGGCTTCCTTCGCCAGGCAGCTTCACTGCTTCACTGTTATCTTGGGATTGTCCGGCTCTAGTTGGGTTTTTGTTCTTTATTCCCCTGACTTCATTGTTCTGGGGTTTGGCTGGCACTAGGGGCGCTAACTGGGCCTCTGATATTTCCCTCCTTTGCCAGGCTGGGGAGGAGAGGTATAGACCATCTGCTCCTCCGCGCCCTTGGAAGATCTGGCGGTTTATTAGCAGGCTGTCGACTCCTCGGCTTGTTTAATTATCCTACCTCAGATTCCCTCATTCCACTGCCCAAGGAGACTCCCTGGCTTCTTCCTGTCCTGCCCTAACGCTGCCCTTCTGGGGAATTGAGTTTAGGCTGTTTATTAAGGAACAAGACTCAGAAAGAGCCTCTGACCACCACCGCTTTCCTGCCCTGGAAACCTGAGCAGAGAAACCTGATGTCGGAAGGCAGCCTGGGCTTCAGCACCTTAGAAATCTGCTCTGTTGCGTGCGCTCCAAGCCTGTTGGCTCGATGCCTTCTGTGCCCCGTGGCTTCTGAGCTGCCCAGCAAGAACGTCCCTGCCACGTACGTGCTGCTCTGTCTCACGCCCTGGAACCACCCGTTCTCACTCTTAAGGTCGAATAACCTGGACCCCCTTTCCTCCTTTGTCCAAAATGCCTGATATATCCGGTGTTACTGCCCACGGCCCTTGGAATTCTCAAGCCTGTGAGTTCTCCATGCTCATGTATTTAACATTGATGTTCTCCTGTGAATCTGTCTCTGTTAATTACTTTCTGGCCCAGCTAGAATAACTTGGAAAGTGGGAGGAAAAGCAATCATGTATTTTGTAGTTACCTCACTACTATTCTGTCTTTTATAAATGATTATTTCAATCGTGAAACAATCATCCCAAGTAGCTCTTATTACTATTTTAAATTCAAAGGAATCAGAACAATGGAACGCTTCATTCAGCGGGGCAGAATTTAGCACGTACAGAGGGTAAGGAGCAGTGCGTAGCATAAGCCCACGTCTGTGCGAATCCCTTGTCTGTAATCTTAGGTTACACCGCGTTAGAAAGTGGAGGAAATGGCGTTCCGATGCCCATTGGCAAGGGCTGGCATCATGAAAGTCACTTCATATTCTCCCCTCTTTCATCGCGTGTTATCTTTCTGGCCCAAGGACTGAGGTCAGAAGTGTCTGCTGGGTTGAAGTGCTTGTTAATAGGATGACATTGGAATGGAATCGACATCGTCAGGAATAGCAAGGACACGGTAGCACTCTGAATACCATCTTCCTTCAAATTCCGTGCCGATGATTCTTTTCTTGCTCACAGAGAGCGTGGAAGTAGTTGTGGCTAATTACTGCCCTCTCTCGACAGCGTGTTAGAGAAGCTAATTGATGACTCAGGAGTATTTCATGTTGGAGTTGGGAGAAATCTCATCTCCAAAGATGAGTGATTCAATGTGGAGGGTGGGAGAGCCTCACCCAACAGCCAGAGCTGGTTAATGAGACGAGCCGACCGAGGCCCCGTGTGTCAGGACCGCCCGTCCCTACTGTGTCAACTCCATGGAAATCAGTCACTGCCGTTTGCCTAACAGTGTTTTCCGTGTTACGAGTCTCACACATAAAGTTTACAATGGTCTAGTGTAAGGCTGTTCTCTTCTCATTTCCCTCCACCAGGGGGCGCATGCTTCTGGGGCTCCGGTTCCGGTGGTTCTCAACCTTCCTAATGCCGCGACCCTGTAGTACAGTTCCTCATGTTGTGGTGACCCCCAATTTCATTGTTACACATTGAACATAATTAAAGCACAGTGATTAATCACAAAAACAATCTGTAACTATATATGTGTTTTCCGATGGTCTTAGGCGACCCCTGTGAAAGGGTCGTTCGACCCCACAGGTTGAGAACCGCTGGGTTAGACAATCCCACGCGGAGAAAAGGAAGATGTTGGAGAAGACAGCGCTGTCCATCCCACCGCTAGCTCGGCTGTTTTCTACTCAGATATATTTGTGTTCTGCTCTCCGCTGGGTCATACATTTCCAATATGATGCGCATATAATTGATAGGGTAAGTTTCCGAATGTTTACAAAGATGACACAAGGAATAATGACCATATTTAATATATAATTTCTAAGCAACATAAGATATTTAAATATTTTCAAATGAGTTGGAAAAATGAACATAGTTTTATTAGAGAAACCGAAAGAACATTTACTGATTTTTACCCCTTTGTACCCATGTTTAAGTTTCCACATTGAAAATATTGCTAGCACCTCTCAGGCAACCATCTCAAAATCAAATAAAAAAATCAAATTATTAAATGCATATAATTTTTTACCTTTTCCTCAGTTAATCTTGTTAACAGTAAAACCACTTCATCTCTGTGCTCTTCATTCTTCATTCTATAAAATTGTTACTTCAGCAGAACAAAATTTACCGAGCAGTTACTACTTCAGCCTAATTGTCTGAATAATTGTTACGGCCCAAAGAGACTTCGTTCTAAAATCTGAAATGTTCCATACTCAGCGGCTTGTGGTGCCAGTGGCTACTGTTTGATTGGCTTCTGATGCAGCGAGCGCTACGCTAATTCCCTTCATGTGGGCCTCACGGGTCCCCACAATCCCTTCACCCAGAAGAGGGGATGAGGGACACGGAGGCTAACTTTATTGTTTTCTTCCACAATTCTTAACAATTCTTCAGTGGTGTCTGACAGTTTACCGACCGCCAGTCAAGACCCCTATCAGCTAATCAGGGCGATATGCAAATTAACCTCCAACAAAGATGGCGGTTAATTTGCATATGCAGGTTCCAAGAGGTGGAGCAAAGCCAAACAGCCCCGAAGATGGCCGAGCAGCGAGGCCTTAAGGCCCGGGATCAGTGTGACAGGGGGCAACCCACCCCTCCCCGATCAGCCCTGCTCTGTGCCTGACAGGGGGCGGCATCACAGCCTCCCGATCTGCCTGCTCTATGTGTGACGGGGGCCACGTCGAAACCCCCTGATCCGCCCTTCTCTGTGCATGACAGGGGAAGGTGCCCCAACTTCCCATCGTCCCTGCTATGTGCGTGACAGGGGAAGTTGCCCCAACTTCCCATCGTCCCTGCTCTGTGTGTGACAGGGGGCTGAACCCCAACCCCCTGATCAGCCCTGTTCTGTGCGTGACAGGAGGCAGCGCCATGACCTCCCCATTGGCCCTGCTCTGTGCATGACAGGGGACAGCAGCCCAATGCCCTGATCCGCCCTGCTCTGTGTGTGATAGGGGGTGGCGCCCCAGCTCCTTGATCGGCCCTGCTCTGTGCGTGACAGGGAGCAGTGCCCCAACCCCTGATCCGCCCTGCTCTGTGTATGACAGGGGGCAGCGCCACAACCTCCCCATCGGCCCTGCCTTGAGTGTGACAAGGGGCAGCACCCCAACCCTCTGACCCACCCTGCTCTGAGCCCGACCAGGGGCTGCAGGACAGGCACCTAGGGATTGGGCCTGCTTTCTGCCACCCTGGAGCGGGCCTAAACCAGCAGGTCGTTGTCTCCTGAGGGGTCCCAGACTGTGAGAGGGCACAAGTGGGGCTGAGGGACACCTCCCCACCCCCGCCAGTGCAGAAATTTCTGTGCACCGGGCCTCTAGTCCATTATAATGTCCCTAGAAAAGACAGGATGGGGTTTTTCTATCAGCACCGTCTTATAGCAATGCTCCCCAAATGCACTGCTGCGGGATTGTCCGGTATTCGAGAAGGAAAAGGTCGGGCACTTATTTTCACACAGCGCCGCGTAGCCAGGCTTTCCTAACCTCTTCCTCCTCCATTCCTCACTTGTCCTATATAGTCAATCCCAAATTCATATTTCAATAGGGAGTATATTTTATTTTATTTTAAATATATTTTTATTGATTTCAGAGAGGAAGAGGGGAGAGAGAGAAAGAGAGACATCAATGATGAGAGAGAATCATTGATCGGCTGCCTCCTTCACGCCCCCTACTGGGGATCGAGTCCGAAACCCTGGCCTGTGCCGTTGACCAGAATGGAACCTGGGACCCTTCAGTCTGAAGGCTGATGCTCTATCCATGAGCCAAACCTGTAGGACAATAGGGAGTTTATTTTAGCAAAGAACATGTGCATCCAATGAGTCTTGTTAATCTATTAGTTTTTAGTTTGTATTTTGTTCATTGTTGGATACGCGTTGCTGTGAGGTTGTGTGATAGTCACAGGCATGAGAGAGCATTCCTACTCTCTTCCTTGTTCATGTAAAATGCGTGTCATTCCAAACATCTTGGTCTACGAATGGGAAGCCTGTGGTTTTTCTCTTGTAAAGGGATCTGATGTTGTTTAAGTTTTAGAAAAACTTCCCTGGAGAACTCTTGTGACCAGGGCTAACCAGCCACCTGTTACAGAGCAGACTGGCCGGGAGGACAGGGAACGGGGGAGCCAGGGGCCCGGAGCCAGGGGCAGGGGCTGCTTGGCTGGCGGACCTGGCGAGGAGGGCTCTCTCTGTGTCTCGCCCGCTCTCCCTAGGAAGGAGGGCGGGGCACATCCTGGTATAATTTTTGTCTTGTCTTGTCTATTTGGGAGCCAGCTGCTCAGAGCTCAGTGTGAGGCTCGGCTGTCACCCGGGCGGCTGGGTAGGCTCTGCTGGGAGTTTCCACGCTTCTTGGTCTGAGACACATTGTGAAACACTGGCTGCCTCTGGGGGGCGGTAAGGGGTGGTGCTGAGTGGGCTTTGCAGAGGGAGCAACCCTTCTGGTGGCTAATGAGGCGGCAGCTCACTGTCTATGGGGGAAAAGGGTTACAGCTGTGAGCATGGGAAGCATAGTTCATTCTTGTGTTTTATTTGTGTATTATTGTATTACTTACTATTATTAATCTATTTTACCCACCCTGTATATATTATATTAATGTACTAACACATTAACAAAGTGATTATAATAATTATACTAATTATATTATTATATTAATTGTATTATATTTATTCTGTTATATTTCTTTATATTATATTTTATTTCCTATTCTCTCTGAGTCCTGTATGATCTCTGTGACTACCCACCCACCCATCCCTATCTTTCCATCTGGTGCCTGTGCCGCCTGGATATCTTTGCCTGTGGGAGATCTATTGCTTTTTTTTTTTTTGTATATCGTGTCCCAACATGTTGAAAGATTGTTAGGATAAAACTAATTTACACATCCAATTGCAAAGCCACTTTCCTGTCAGCACATACATATTTAAAATAGATAAGTCACATCTTGAAGCATCTCCTTTCAGTCCCCGTGAATGTTGCGGTTTGGGTGACACGCGTGTTGAGGCCCACACGCGGTGGCTGGCGTCTGAACAAACAGCAAGGCAGGGTGAGAGGCAGGGGGTGCCACTGGGCAGGCAACAGAGACAGAGACATGATCAAGCTCACCGCGCCCTCTTCTGGGACAACGGGAAAAGTGCTGACAGACTCTGAGAGTCTGAAAAGCTGGTGTAATTGTTGAAAAGCACAGTTCTAATGTCCATCCCACTTCTGTTGTTAACATGTTATCTTTCTGGCAGCAATTTCAAAAAAATAACGTTCTTACCCCAGACTGTGGCATTCCTCTTGGCAGGGCCGGGAGTGGAGGAGGCAGTGGGCTGGGCGCTGTCATCTGCAGGGAGAGTGCAGCCAGTTAACACGCGAGACACGGGCACAGCTCCTGCTCACAGGAAGGCCACGCCAGCAGGCGTGTTGAGAAAAGTAAACTTCCAGAAAGCTTGTTCACAGGCTCTGTGAAATCAGCGCACAGTGGGGCTTTAAACATCTCTATGCTACTTATATAAACTGAGATAATATCTCCAGGAGCAATTTTGGGTTCTTAGCAAAACAAAGGTATGAGGGTTCATGATTGTCCCTCTGTTACTGCGTGTCATGGGCACATCAAACGATCAATTTTCAAGGTGGAAGGTTCTCTGTCCTGAAATGGCCGTGAAGGTCAGGAGTTCAGATCCCCGCTCTCACCCCTTAGAGACAACGGTTTTCTCGGGAAAGAAAACCAAATAACGGAGAATGAAAAATGTAATGTCCATCTGGGGAAGCCATGGCCCTGAAGTCAGGTTTGTTGGTATCTGTGCTTTAACACATTTCTTTCACATCCTGACTAGTTTCTATCAGATTCAGTGGAAACGAATGCATCTCACTGGTCTGGGAACACACAGGCCAGGCACACCTGTCCTCAGGACACCATATGTTTGAAACGCCAGAAAACACAGTGAAGGGAGAGGAACACAGACGCACCCGGGTCCCCACAGGAGCGCTGGCAATCTGCCTCGGTTTCAAAGTTGTTTAGGTTCCCATCGCAGCCTCCATACCCGAACGCCTCACAGCGCCCAGAGCGGTGGTTGTAGAAGTAGCGCCTAAAGTATAAGCGGCAACGCCCCATCCTCTTCTCCAAGAAGCAGAAGCCAGGCTGTCCTGGGGGTTGCACGTGTGTCAGAGAGTTCTCCTTGGAGTAAGTTACTTATTCCTATTAAACTAGAGGCCCAGTGCACGAAATTGTGCATGGGTGGGGGTCCCCTCAGCCCAGCCTGCACCCTCTCCAATCAGGGACACCTTGGGGGATGTCCAACTGCCAGTTTAGGCCCAGTCCTAGCAGTTGGACATTCCTCTCACAATCTGGGACTGCTGGCTCCTAACTGCTCACCTGCCTGGATGCCTGCCTGATCGCCCCTAAGTAACCCCTGCCCCCTGCCAGCCTGATCACTCCTAAGCACCTCGGCCTGCTGGCCTGGTCAGCCCCAACAGTTCCCTCTCTACCGTCCTGGTGGCAACCAACTGCCCTCCCCCGCCGGCCTGGTTGTCCCACGCAGCCTGCTGTTCAGTCATTTGATCGTCCCTCACTGACCCCTCTGCCAGCCTTGTCGCCCCATGCAGCCTGTTCGGTTCTTACTGTTACTGTGAGGGCATCCCGGACAATATGCATATTCCTCTATTGTTAGTATAGATGGACACATCAATGGTTGTGCTGAAATCATTTAAGGAGTAAACATGGAAAGTTAACAACAAGAGGTGAACACGGAACAACCACACAGCGTTACAATGGCCTGTGACATAGCCTGGGACATGTAGACTAAGCAGATGCAACTATGATCGCAGGTGACTGCCACTGGGATTCCATGTCCTAAATTTCTCCCCGTCAACTCCTGGGGCATTCACTACAAAGTAGTCCATGATTTGACAGAATAAGATACTGGGACATTTTACCCTCGGTTGGGAAGTATACAATATTATGGTAAAACATGGTTTACTTATTTTTATTTATTTTAGTTTATTTGTATCCACATTTAGGAAAATCTATAAATAGTTCATGTTTTTAGGTGTGAGGTCTCATGAGGGGAAAGTGTAATGTGTTGCTTCACTAAGAAATTTCAATCGCCCAGTGGCTCAGTGGCTTCTACAAGCAAATAATTTTCATTCTTCAATTTTGTTGGAGACCGTATATTTGGCACTTGTCCCTACTAAGCATTTTTTAAAAAAAATTCATGCCCACAGTTCTTAGATATATAAAGTGGTATTCCTATTTCATCTGTATACTAACACTAAATATCAACAAGAGCAATTACGTATTGTTAAACATCTCTACTTTTTCTTAATGATCATCGACAACTCAAAGACATACAGATATACATTGAGGGTCACATTGAATAAAATTTGCTAAGGCCACACAACACTGAGATCATCCAGAGATACAGCTGAGAGCTAAGGTACGATTGGCAATATCAAAACCACTCTGTGGGAGAGGTAGCAATATCATGTGTGTGGCCCGTGTTGTAATTAATCTGCTACTAAATATCATACACATTAGGATGAGAGTAAACACAGTGTGTGAAGCCTTTCCTACCTCACACTATGCCTGTTATTTCTAATTTCTTGTTGTTTCTACTAAAGACAATATTTCAGCCCTGGCTGGTTTGGCTCAGTGGATGGAGCTTCAGCCTGCGGACTGAAGGGTCCAGGGTTTTATTCCAGTCAAGGGTGCATGCCCGGGTTGTGGGCTCGATCCGCAGTGTGGGGCCTGCTGAAGGCATCCGATCTATGATTCTCCCTCATCTTGATGTTTCTCTCTCTCTCTCCCTCTCCCTTCCTCTCTGAATTCAATAAAAATATATTTAAAAAATAATAATAAAAAATAAAAACACTATTTCAAAGATCACATATTTATCATGAACCTCATTGTCAGAAAAACGTAAGAATTGAATACATAAATGAGTTATATGAATAAGTAAATTATACTAAGTAATTATACAAATTATACTAGGTATCTGATATAATAAAGAGGTAATATGCAAATTGACCATCAGATGGACTGCAGGGGAGGGCAGTCGCCCATGTAGACACTAGATGGACTGCAGGGCAGTTGATGGTGACCAGGCAGGCAGGGGAGGGCAGTTGGGGGCGATCAGGCCAGCAGAGGAACACAGGTGGGGGCGATTGGGCTGGCAGCGGAGCAGTTAGGCATTGATCAGGCTGACAGGGGAGTGGTTAGGGGTGATCAGGCTGGCAGGCAGAAGCAGTTAGGGGCAATCAGGCAGGCAGGCAGATGAATGGTTGGGAGCCAGCAGTCCTGGATTGTGAGAGGGATGTCCAACTGCCCGTTTAGGCCCGATCCTTGCGGGCAGTTGAACATCCCTTGAGGGGTCCCAGGTTGGAGAGGGTGCAGGCTGGGCTGAGGAACCCCCCACCCCCAGTGCATGAGTTTTGTGCACCAGGCCTCTAGTAATAATAATAACCACACAAAGGAATGTTCACCGTGTGTCCATGACTGGGCCTCCCTGTCACCTGAAAGAAAATACAATAAATGTGTATCGTTATCACAGTCGATGAAATAATGCTGTGAATTTCAGAACGATCCATTCATTACCATTAAAATTATTATCATGAAGAATGTCAATACATTTCTTTTGATGTTCTCTAAACATTAAATTATTTTCAAGTATTGTAACCATGAAGCCATCTCATTTTATCATAGTGATGTCTCTAAACCTATCTTCAAAGGTTGAACACATTTACGGAAATAAGAGTGCATGGCAAACTACATGAAATACTGGTGATTCAAGCAGTTTTGGGCTACCACTTGCTTCTTTTGAGAAGTTTATATGTTTCTTCTTCATTCATTGTTAATACAGAGATTAAATTTTGAATATTTCCTCCATCTTACGTGCCTTGCAGAAGCCACACTCAGTCATAATGTATCGTATTTATATTGCCCTGATTTTGAATTGCTCTTATTTTAAGATTTGGGTATGACTGTATTTATGAGGAGCATTGGGTCTGTGGCTCTCTTTTTGGAATTGTGTTTCTTTGGTGTGAGAGTAAGTTAATGCTGACTTCATATCATGAACTGGAAAGGGTTCCCTCCTTTTCAATTTTCTGAAAGTCTGTGTTGGATTGGTATTGTGCTCCCTTAAATGTTTTCCAGAATTTACCAGTCAAGTCCTCTCACCCTGCAGTATTCTCTGCTGCAAGTTTTTTATTCACAAACTTAGTTTGTTTACTAGAGGGAGCGCTACCCAGGCATTCTGTTCAACAGCAACGCTGAGTTCTCCCGGGAGGGAGCCTCTCTATGGGGAGAACCTAGTATTTACAGTTACCCAGGGCGATGGGATTATTTGAGGAGTTTTGGTGAGTTTTGTTTAGTAGATGTGTTCATTAAGGATAATTTACTTAAAGAATGATGCGCATTGTTATAGATTGGGTAATGTTTGGCTTTCAAGGATTTGCTGTGGTTTTTTCCAAGTTGTTAAATGTATTGGCACCAATTTGTTAGTAAGATTTACTTATTATCATTATAATATTTGTAGATCCCTATGTATGCTTTTTCCTGATATTGGTCCTTTCTTCTTATTTATTGAGGTTTATTTCTATATGTATTTTTTATTTTTAAATGTTTTACTAATTGTATTGGGATGACATTGGTGAACATGAACATAGAGGTTTTTAGTGTGGGTTTCTATAATATATCATTTCTGTTTCTCTCTCTCTCTCTCTCTCTCTCTCTCTCTCTCTCTCTCTCATATCTACTTGGAACATTACTACTAGTATTGATTTAAATGGTACATCATGACCGGCCTGAGTACCATAGTGGGGCTGAGGGTCAACCTATGAACCCGAGTTCAGGTTTTGATTCCCGATTAGGGCACATGACCGGGTTGCAGGCTCCATCCCCCGTGTGGGGCAAGTAGGAGGCAGCTTATCCATGATTTTCTCTCATCATTGATGTTTCTATGTCTCCCTCTGCTTTCCTCTCTGCAATTAATAAAACTATACTTTAAAAAAAGAAATATCTAACTGAAACTGAGGAATTCACTGATTCTCCTGTTTCTGACAGTGCATTCTTGGAAACTTTTGAAGTTGTGTGATTGAGGCATAGACTTAGCCAGTGAGGATTATTGTGTTGTTTTGGTTCATTTGCCCACATTCTTTTTCGTATGAATGTTTCTGTCCTATCGTCTGCGTTTATTAATCATTCTTAGGGGTGGTGCTTGTGTGGTCGACCTTCTCTCACCCCTTCCCTTTTTACAGCTGGGTCTTTATTTTTAAAACTAGAGGCCCAGTGCACAAAATTCGTGCATGGGGGGTGAGTCCCTTAGGCTGGCCTGCACCCTCTCCAATCTGCGACGCCTTGGACATCCCTCTCACAATCTGGGACTGCTGGCTCCTAACTGCTCACCAGCCTGCCTGCCTGATCGCCCCTAACCACTTCTGCCTGCCAGCCTGATCACCCCCTAACTGCTCCTCTGCTGGCCTGATTGATGCCTAACTGCCCCCCTGCTGGCCTGATCACCCCCAACTGCCCTACTCTGATGGCCTGTTCACCCCCAACTACCCTCCCCTGCTGGCCTGATTGCCCACAACTGCCCTCCCAGGCAGCCATCTTGTGAAGATATCACGCGAGGGTGTCATGCGAGGGCGTGATGCCACCTAGGCTTTTATTACATAGGATATCTTTCCTGTAGTTAGTTCTTGATTGTTCTGTATTAAGTCTAATAAATGGCTGTTCACTGGAGTGACTGCAGCGTTGCATGGTACTGTCATGATCACTAAGGTTCCATAGGAATTGGAGTTGTTTGTTTTCTGCTTTCCATCTGTTCTTTGTTCCCGTGTCCCTCTTCCTGTCTGATAAAGTCTAAGTCCATGTGACTAATAATGTCTGTCCTGCAAGTCATAGCTGCTGAGTTACACTCACTTCCTTGGAGATATAAACCCTGTTCTGAAAACTAGAAGTTATTTCTGCCATCTTATTCTGAGGAAGAGCGTCAGACGACAATGGGGCTTGCTCTGTTTAAGATTTAGAAAGACTTCCCTGGAGAACTCTTGTGACCGGGGCTAACCAGCCACCTGTTACAGAGCAGACCAGCATGGTGGACAGGGATCGGGGAGCCAGGGGCCTGGAGCCAGGGGCGGGGGCCTGCTTGGATGGCGGACCTGGCGAGGAAGGCTCTCTCTGTGTCTCGCCAACTCTCCCAGGAAGGAGGGCCAGATGCATCCTGGTATAATTTTTGTCTGGTCTTGTCTGTTTGGTAGCCAGCTGCTCAGAGGCTCGGCTGCCAGGCGGGCGGTGGGGTTGTCTCTGCGGGGAGTTTCCACACTTCTTGGTCTGAGACACGTTGTGAAACACTGGCTGCCTCTGGGGGGCGGTGGGGGTGCTGAGTGGGCTTTGCAGAGGGAGCAACCGTTCTGTTGGCTAATGTGGCGGCAACTCACTGTCTATGGGGGGCAATGGGTTACAGCTGTGAGCATGGGAAGCATAGTTTATTCTTGTGTTTTCTTTGTGTATTGTATTATTTATTTTTATTAATCTATTTTACCCACCCTGTATATATTATATTAATCTATTAAGACATTACAAAGTCATTATATAATTATACTAATTATATTATTATATTAATTGTATTATACTTATTCTGTTATATTTCATTATATTATATTTTATTTCATATTCTCTCTGAATCCTGTATGATCTAGGTGACTACCCACCCACCCATCCCCATCTTTCCATCTGGTGCCTGTGCCACCTGGATTTCTGAGCCTGTGTGAGTCCTATTGCTTTTTTTTTTTTTGTATATCGTGTCCCAACATGTTGAAAGATTGTTAGGATAAAACTAATTTACAATCCAATTGCAAAGCCACTTTCCTGTCAGCACATACACATTTTAAATAGATAAGTCACATCTTGAAGAATCTCCTTTCGTCCCCGTGAATGTTCTGGTTTGGGTGACACTCGTGTTGAGGCCCACATACTGGGGCTGGAGTCTGAACAAACAGCAAGGCGGGGTGAGAGGCAGGGAGTGCCACTGGGTTAGCGACAGAGACAGAGAGGTGATCAAGCTCACCTCGCCCTCTTCCGGGACAACGGGAAAAGTGCTGACACACTCGAAGTCTGAAAAGCTGATATAATTGTTTAAAAGCACAGTTCTAATGTCCATCCCACTTCTGTTGTTAACTTGTTGTTTTTCTGGCAGCAATTTAAAAAAAATAACGGTCTTACCCCAGACTCCGGCATTCCTTGTGGCAGGGCCGGGAGTGGAGAAGGCAGTGGGCTGGGCGCTGTCATCTGCGGGGAGAGTGCAGCCAATTAACACGCCAGACACGGGCACAGCTCATGCTCACAGGAAGGCCACGCCAGCAGGCGTGTTGGGAAAAGTAAACTTCCAGAAAGCTTTTTCACAGTCTCTGTGAAATCAGCGCACAGTGGGGCTTTAAACATCTCTATGCTACTTATATAAACTGAGGTAATATCTCCAAGAGCAATTTTGTGGTTCTTAGCAAAACAAAGGTATGAGGGTTAATGTTTGTCCCTCCGTTACTGCATGTCATGGGCAGATCAAACGATCAATTTTCAAGGTGGAAGGTTCTCTGTCCTGAAATGGCCGTGAAGGTCAGGAGTTTAGAGCCCCGTTCTTGCCACTTAGAGACAACGGTTTTCTCAGGAAAGAAAACGAAATAACGGAGAATGAAAAATATAATGTTCATCTAGGGAAGCCATGGCCCCGAAGTCAGGTTTTTGGGTATCTGTGCTTTAACACATTTCTTTCACATCCTGACTGCTGGAAGCCAGTCCATCCTTGCTGCTTGACACAGTCGCTGCAGGAAAGAAACATCGCACAGCATATGTTTCAAGGGACCTGGCGTATATAGCATACTGTTGTTGATATGTTTGCTCCCCTTGGCGCTATGTGTTTTAATCAAGGTCACCTCTCTGAGAGAGGTTGTTTCCCCAGGTAGGGATTTTTCCCTGAAGTTAGGGAGGGGATAAAACCCCTTAACTAAGTGCCAGGCGGGTAGTTAATCACTTTAACTACAAACAATCACCCTTAAGCTACATAATCTTTACTCCCTGGAATGGAGATAAGAAACGCCCTAACCTTTGCAATAGAAATTGACAGGATTAAAATCAACTGGTATAAATACAGATGTAACAAGACAATAAACACGAGAACTTTGCTGGAGATCCTGACCAGAACTTGGCTGGAGTTCTGGCTAGAGATCCTGGCTAGGCTGCTGATCAATTGAACGCTGTCTCTGTGTCATTCCTTCTTCGACTCCGTCCACACCTTTGGGGACCCCTGGACCTGTTGGGGTTGGACCCCAACATCTGGCGCCCGAACCGGGACTCTTAGATAAGTCCCCCGTACTTGGGACGGATAGGACTGCACCGTAGGGTGCTGCAGACCCCCCCCCTAGAGAGGATACGTAGGGTAAGTGTGTAGTTAGTACAGAACATAGATTGACAAGATTGGTCATACTGAGTCTATAGAAGAAAGACTCTGTATTAATCTTTTAATGCATATGCTTGCTAGCAGAGGAGTTAAGGTTACTCCCAGTCAGACAGAAAGTTTTATACAAGATGTATGTCAATGGCTTCCTGAGGATGGAACTGTTAATTTAGAAACTCGGACTAAAGTAGGAGAGCAATTAAAGAATTATTACAGCTACCATGGATCTGAGAAGGTCCCGGCAGATACCCTTTCCCTCTGGAATTCAATTCATGACACCTTGGCACCAGAGGCAGAAACGGTTGAACTTTCTCAAACTTTAAATAGTCCCTTGGCTCCAGCTCAATCTAAGAGCAATTTAGCTATGCCTACTGATTGGAAGGAGAATAAATATCATAAACATGACCATTGGTCCTTTCCAGTCAGTAGAGAGGAGAGAGGCCCTCCCATTCAAAACAGGCTCCCTAAATTAGAAAGGAAGCCTGAACCAGGTCCTGCGGCTCCTATGAGCTTCATGTCTAAATTTCAAAGGGCGATAAGAGAAGTTGAAGCTAATGGAGATCTTGAATTCTCACTCTGCTTCCCAGTTGCATATGAGAATGAGTTTGGTGAGGATGAAAACCCCACCTGGAAGTCTATACCTTACAAAATACTTAAAGAATTAAAATCGGCCTGCTCTGAATATGGACCTCTAGCTCCTTACACACAAACCTTGGTAGAAACCCTAGCCAGTAAATGGATGACTCCTTATGATTCGTCACAGGTTTGTAAAGCCTGTCTCTCAGGAGGCGATTACTTATTATGGAAAACTGAATATGATGATCTTGCTAAGAGAGCTGTAGCCACTAGCAAAAATTCCAGAGGAGGAATAACCCTAGACATGATATTAGGAGAAGGTGATTTTAACACGGCTCAGGAGCAAATGTATATGCCCAAAGAGGCACTTATTAAAGTAACCAGTTGTGCAGTAAATGCCTGGAAATCCCTACCTTATACAGTAGGAAAAACAACCACCCTTATAGAGGTTAAACAGAAGGTCGAGGAACCGTATCAGGATTTCCTTTCTCGCCTCATACAGGCAGTCAAGAGAGTAATCAGTAACGAAGAGGCAGCCGATATCCTAATTAAACAACTGGCTTTTGAAAATGCTAATAATACCTGTCAGGCCTTATTAAGGCCGATTCGCAGAACGGGAACTACAAATGATTTTGTAAAACAGTGTGCTGATGTAAGTCCAGCATTTATACAGGGTGTAGCTATAGCTGCAGCTCTCAAAGGGGAGACATACCCTCAATATGTACAGGGCATAGGACAAGCCAGCAATAATACAGGTAATAAACGATATATGAACTGCTACTCTTGTGGCTTATCTGGGCACTTTAGCAGAGAATGCCCAAATAGAAATAATAATACTCAAGCCAGATGGCAAGCTCCTCGACAGCCTGGAAATACATCAGGGAATAATATTAATCCTCCAAAAACCGTTTGTCCCCGATGTCAGAAAGGATTCCATTGGGCAAAGGAATGTAGATCAAAAAGCACAGTTCTAATGTCCATCCCACTTCTGTTGTTAACATGTTGTTTTTCTGGCAGCAATTTCAAAAAAATAACGTTCTTACCCGAGACTCCGGCATTCCTTGGGGCAGGGCCAGGAGTGGAAGAGGCAGTGGGCTGGGTGCTGTCATCTGCAGGGAGAGTGCAGCCAGTTAAAACGCCAGACACGGGCACCGCTCATGCTCACAGGAAGTCCACGCCAGCAGGCGTGTTGAGAAAAGTAAACTTCCAGAAAGCTTGTTCACAGGCTCTGTGAAATCAGCGCACAGTGGGGCTTTAAACATCTCTATGCTACTTATATAAACTGAGATAATATCTCCAGGAGCAATTTTGTGGTTCTTAGTGTAACAGAGGTATGAGGGTTAATGTTTGTCCCTCTGTTACTGCGTGTCATGGGCAAATCAAACGATCAATTTTCAAGGTGGAAGGTTCTCTGTCCTGAAACGGCCGTGAAGGTCAGGAGTTCAGAGCCCCACTCTCACCCCTTAGAGACAACGGTTTTCTCAGGAAAGAAAACGAAATAACGAAGAATGAAAAATGTAATGTCCATCTAGGGAAGCCATGGCCCTGAAGTCAGGTTTGTTGCTATCTGTGCTTTCACACATTTCTTTCACATCCTGACTCATTTCTATCAGATTCAGGGGAAACGAATGCATCCCACTGGTCTGGGAACACACAGGCCAGGCACACCTGTCCTCAGGACGCCTTACGATTGAAACGTCAGGAAACACAGTGAAGGGAGAGGAGCGCAGACGCACCCGGGTCCCCACAGGCGCGCTGGCAATCTGCCTCGCTTTCGAAGTTGTTTAGGTTCCCATCGCAGCCTCCATACCCGAACGCCTCACAGCGCCCAGAGCGGTGGTTGTAGAAGTAGCGCCTGAAGTATAAGCGGCAGCGCCCCATCCTCTTCTCCAAGAAGCAGAAGCCGGGCCGCCCTGGGGGTTGCACGTGTGTCAGAGAGTTCTCCTTGGAGTAAGTTACTTATTTCTATTATACTAGAGGCCCAGTGCATGAAATTGTGCATGGGTGGGGGTCCCCTCAGCCCAGCCTGCACCCTCTCCAATCAGGGACACCTTGGGGGATGTCCAACTGCCAGTTTAGGCCCAGTCCTAGCATTTGGACATTCCTCTCACAATCTGGGACTGCTGGCTCCTAACTGCTCAGCTGCCTGCCTTCTTGATTGCCCCTAACTATACCCCGCCCCCTGCCAGCCTGATCACTCCTAACCACCTCTGCCTGCTGGACTGGTCACCCCCAACTGACCCCCCTCTGCTGTTTTGGTCGCCACCAGCTGCCCTCCCCCGCCAGCCTGGTCGCACCACGCAGCCTGCTGTTCAGTCATTTGGTCTTCCCTCACTGACCCCTCTGCTGTCCTCGTCGCACCACCCAGCCTGTTTGGTCGTTACTGTTACTGTGAGGGCATCCCGGACAATATGCATAATCCTCTATTGTTAGTATAGATGGACACATCACTGGTTGTGCTGAAGTCATTTAAGGAGCAAACATGGAAAGTTAACAACAAGAGGTGAACATGGAACAACCACACAGCGTGACAATGACCTGCGACATAGCCTGCGACATGTAGACTAAGGCAGATGCAGCTATGATCACACGTGGCTGCCACTGGGATTCCATGTCCTAAATTTCTCGCCTCAATTAGTGTGGCATTCACTACCAAGTAGTCCATGATTTGACCGAATAAGATACTGGGACCTGTTACCCTCGGTTGGGAAGTATTCAATATTATGGCTAAAACATGGTTTACTTATTTTTTTTATTAAGTTTATGTGTATCCACATTTAGGAAAATCTATAAATAGTTCATGTTTTTAGGTGTGAGGTCTCATGAGGCAGGCGGGTGCTGCTGGGCCAGCGACAGAGACAGAGACTTGATCGAGCTGTGGCTCAGTGGCTTCCACAAGCCACATAATTTTCATTCTTCAATTTTGTTGGAGACTGTATATTTGGCACTTGTTCCAACTAAGCTTTCTTTCAAAAAAAAATTCATGCCCACAGTCCTTAGATATAAATTGGTATTCCTATTTAATCTGTATACAAACACTAAATTTCAACAGGAGCAATTACGCATTGGTAAACATCTCTACTTTTTCTTAATGATCGTCGACAACTAAAAGACATACGGATATTTATTGAGGGTCACATTGAATAAAGTTCACTAACGCCACACAACACTGAGATCATCCAGAGATACAGCTGAGAGCTAAGGTATGACTCGCAATATCGAAGCCACTCTGTGGGAGAGGTAGCAATATCCTGTGTGTGGCCCGAGTTGTAATTAATCTGCTTCTAAATATCATACGCTTAGGATGAGAGTAAACACAGTGTGTGAAGCCTTTCCTACCACACATTATGCCTGTTATTTCTAATTTCTTGTTGTTTCTACTAAAAACAATATTTCAGCCCTGGCTGGTTTGGCTCAGTGGATGGAGCTTCAGCCTGCGGACTGAAGGGTCCAGGGTTTTATTCCAGTCAAGGGTGCATGCCCGGGTTGTGGGCTCGATCCGCAGTGTGGGGCCGGCAGAAGGCAGCCGATCCATGATTCTCCCTCATCTTGATGTTTCTCTCTCTCTCTCCCTCTCCCTTCCTCTCTGAATTCAATAAAAATATATTTAAAAAATAATAATAAAAAATAAAAACACTATTTCAAAGCTCACATATTTATCATGAACCTCATTGTCAGAAAAACGTAAGAATTGAATACATAAATGAGTTATATGAATAAGTAAATTATACTAAGTAATTATACAAATTATACTAGGTATCTGATATAATAAAGAGGTAATATGCAAATTGACCATCAATCCAACACACAAGGTGGCTGCGCCCATGTAGCCACTAGATGGACTGCAGGGGAGGGCAGTTGTGGGTGACCAAGCCTGCAAGGGAGGGCAGTTGATGGTGACCAGGCAGGCAGGGGAGGGCAGTTGGGGGCGATCAGGCCAGCAGAGGAACACAGGTGGGGGCGATTGGGCTGGCAGCGGAGCAGTTAGGCATTGATCAGGCTGACAGGGGAGTGGTTAGGGGTGATCAGGCTGGCAGGCAGAAGCAGTTAGGGGCAATCAGGCAGGCAGGCAGATGAATGGTTGGGAGCCAGCAGTCCTGGATTGTGAGAGGGATGTCCAACTGCCCGTTTAGGCCCGATCCTTGCGGGCAGTTGAACATCCCTTGAGGGGTCCCAGGTTGGAGAGGGTGCAGGCTGGGCTGAGGAACCCCCCACCCCCAGTGCATGAGTTTTGTGCACCAGGCCTCTAGTAATAATAATAACCACACAAAGGAATGTTCACCGTGTGTCCATGACTGGGCCTCCCTGTCACCAGAAAGAAAATACAATAAATGCGTATCAGTTATCACAGTCGATGAAAGAATGCTGTGAATTCCAGGAGGATGTGTTCATTACCATTAAAATTATTATCATGAAGAATGTCAATACATTTCTTTTGATGTTCTCTAAACATTAAATTATTTTCAAGTATTGTAACCATGAAGCCATCTCATTTTATCATAGTGATGTCTCTAAACCTATCTTCAAAGGTTGAACACATTTACGGAAATAAGAGTGCATGGCAAACTACATGAAATACTGGTGATTCAAGCAGTTTTGGGCTACCACTTGCTTCTTTTGAGAAGTTTATATGTTTCTTCTTCATTCATTGTTAATACAGAGATTAAATTTTGAATATTTCCTCCATCTTACGTGCCTTGCAGAAGCCACACTCAGTCATAATGTATCGTATTTATATTGCCCTGATTTTGAGTTGCTCTTATTTTAAGATTTGGGTATGACTGTATTTGTGAGGAGCATTGGGTCTGTGGCTCTCTTTTTGGAATTGTGTTTCTTTGGTGTGAGAGTAAGTTAATGCTGACTTCATATCATGAACTGGAAAGGGTTCCCTCCTTTTCAATTTTTTGAAAGTCTGTGTTGGATTGGTATTGTGCTCCCTTAAATGTTTTCCAGAATTTACCAGTCAAGTCCTCTCGCCCTGCAGTATTCTCTGCTGCAAGTTTTTCATTCACAAACTTAGTTTGTTTACTAGAGGGAGCGCTACCCAGGCGTTCTGTTCAACAGCAACGCTGAGTTCTCCCGGGAGGGAGCCTCTCTATGGGGAGAACCTAGTATTTACAGTTACCCAGGGCGATGGGATTATTTGAGGAGTTTTGGTGCGTTTTGTTTAGTAGATGTGTTCATTAAGGATAATTTACTTAAAGAATGATGCACATTGTTGTAGTTTGGGTAATGTTTGGCTTTCAAGGATTCCCTGTGGTTTTTTCCAAGTTGTTAAATGTATTGGCACCAATTTGTTAGTAAGATTTTCTTATTATCTTTTTAAAATTTGTGGATCCCTATCTATGCTTTTTCCTGATATTGGTCATTTCTTCTTATTTATTGTGGTTTATTTCTACATGTATTTTTTATTTTTTGAATGTTTTATTAAGTGTATTGGGATGACATTTGTCAACATGAACATAGAGGTTTCAAGTGTGGGTTTCTATGTTATAAGATCTTTATCATTTCTCTCTCTCTCTCTCTCTCTCTCTCTCTCTCTCTCTCTCTCTCTCTCATATCTACTTGGAACATTACTACTAGTATTGATTTAAATGGTACATCATGACCGGCCTGAGTACCATAGTGGGGCTGAGCGTCAACCTATGAACCCGAGGTCAGGTTTTGATTCCCGATTGGGGCACATGCCCGAGTTGCAGGCTCCATCCCCAGTGTGGGGCGAGTAGGAGGCAGCTTATCCATGATTTTCTCTCATCATTGATGTTTCTATCTCTCCCTCTGCTTTCCTCTCTGCAATTAATAAAACTTTTTTTAAAAAAAGAAATATCTAACTGAAACTGAGGAATTCACTGATTCTCCTGTTTCTGACAGTGCATTCTTGGAAACTTTTGAAGTTGTGTGATTGAGGCGTAGACTTGGCCAGTGAGGATTATTGTGTTTTGATTCATTGGTCCACATTCTTTCTCTTATGAATGTTTCTGTCCTATCGTCTGCGTTTGTAAATCATTTTTAGGGGTGGTTCTTGTGTGGTCGACCTTCTCTCACTCCTTCCCTTTTTACAGCTAGGTCTTTATTTTTAAAACTAGAGGCCCAGTGCACAAAATTCGTGCATGGGGGGTGAGTCCCTTAGGCTGGCCTGCACCCTCTCCAATCTGCGACGCCTTGGACATCCCTCTCACAATCTGGGACTGCTGGCTCCTAACTGCTCACCAGCCTGCCTGCCTGATCGCCCCTAACCACTTCTGCCTGCCAGCCTGATCACCCCCTAACTGCTCCTCTGCTGGCCTGATTGATGCCTAACTGCCCCCCTGCTGGCCTGATCACCCCCAACTGCCCTACTCTGATGGCCTGTTCACCCCCAACTACCCTCCCCTGCTGGACTGATTGCCCACAACTGCCCTCCCCTGGCAGCCATCTTGTGAAGACATCATGCGAGGGTGTTCTGCGAGGGCGTGATGCCACCTAGGCTTTTATTACATAGGATATCTTTCCTGTAGTTAGTTCTTGATTGTTCTGTATTAAGTCTAATAAACGGCTGTTCATTGGAGTGACTGCAGCGTTGCATGGTACTGTCATGATCGCTAAGGTTCCATAGGAATTGGAGATGTTTGTTTTCTGCTTTCCATCTGTTCTTTGTTCCCGTGTCCCTCTTCCTGTCTGATAAACTCTAAGTTCATGTCACTAATAATGTCTGTCCTGCAACTCATAGCTGCTGAGTTACCCTCACTTCCTTGCAGATATAAACCCTGTTTTGCAAACTAGAAGTTATTTCTGCCATCTTATTCTGAGGAAGAACATCAGACAACAATGGGGCTTGCTTTGTTTAAGTTTTAGAAACACTTCCCTGGAGAACTCTTGTGACCGGGGCTAACCAGCCACCTGTTACAGAGCAGACTGGCCGGGAGGACAGGGAACGGGGGAGCCAGGGGCCCGGAGCCAAGGGAGAGGGGCTGCTTGGATGGCGGACCTGGTGAGGAAGGCTCTCTCTGTGTCTCGCCCGCTCTCCCAGGAAGGAGGGCCAGACGCATCCTGGTATAATTTTTGTCTGGTCTTGTCTATTTGGGAGCCAGCTGCTCAGAGCTCAGTGTGAGGCTCGGCTGCCAGGCGGGCGGTGGGGTTGTCTCTGCGGGGAGTTTCCACACTTCTGGGTCTGAGACACATTGTGAAACACAGGCTGCCTCTGGGGGGCGGTGGGGGTGCTGAGTGGGCTTTGCAGAGGGAGCAACCATTCTGGTGGCTAATGTGGCGGCAGCTCACTGTCTATGGGGGCAATGGGTTACAGCTGTGAGCATGGGAAGCATAGTTTATTCTTGTGTTTTATTTGTGTATTGTATTATTTATTTTTATTAATCTATTTTACCCACCCTGTATATATTATATTAATGTACTAACACATTAACAAAGTGATTATAATAATTATACTAATTATATTATTATATTAATTGTATTATACTTATTCTGTTATATTTCATTATATTATATTTTATTTCATATTCTCTCTGAATCCTGTATGATCTCTGTGACTACCCACCCACCCATCCCCATCTTTCCATCTGGTGCCTGGATTTCTGAGCCTGTGTGAGTCCTATTGCTTTTTTTTTTTTTGTATATCATGTCCCAACATGTTGAAAGATTGTTAGGATAAAACTAATTTACAATCCAATTGCAAAGCCACTTTCCTGTCAGCACATACACATTTTAAATAGATAAGTCACATCTTGAAGAATCTCCTTTCGTCCCCGTGAATGTTCCGGTTTGGGTGACACTCGTGTTGAGGCCCACATACTGGGGCTGGAGTCTGAACAAACAGCAAGGCGGGGTGAGAGGCAGGGAGTGCCACTGGGTGAGGGACAGAGACAGAAACGTGATCAAGCTCACCTCGCCCTCTTCCGGGACAACGGGAAAAGTGCTGACACACTCGAAGTCTGAAAAGCTGATATAATTGTTTAAAAGCACAGTTCTAATGTCCATCCCACTTCTGATGTTAACATGTTGTTTTTCTGGCAGCAATTTCAAAAAATAACGTTCTTACCCCAGACTCCAGCATTCCTCTTGGCAGGGCCGGGAGTGGAGAAGGCAGTGGGCTGGGCAATGTCATCTGTGAGGAGAGTGCAGCCAGTTAACACGCGAGACAGGGGCACAGCTCATGCTCACAGGAAGGCCACGCCAGCAGGCATGTTGGGAAAAGTAAACTTCCAGAAAGCTTTTTCACAGTCTCTGTGAAATCAGCGCACAGTGGGGCTTTAACATCTCTATGCTACTTATATAAACTGAGATAATATCTCCAAGAGCAATTTTGTGGTTCTTAGCAAAACAAAGGTATGAGGGTTAATGTTTGTCCCTCCGTTACTGCATGTCATGGGCAGATCAAACGATCAATTTTCAAGGTGGAAGGTTCTCTGTCCTGTAATGGCTGTGAAGGTCAGGAGTTCAGAGCCCCGCTCTTGCCACTTAGAGACAACGGTTTTCTCAGGAAAGAAAACGAAATAATGGAGAATGAAAAATGTAATGTTCATCTAGGGAAGCCATGGCCCCGAAGTCAGGTTTTTGGGTATCTGTGCTTTAACACATTTCTTTCACATCCTGACTGCTGGAAGCCAGTCCATCCTTGCTGCTTGACACAGTCGCTGCAGGAAAGAAACATCGCACAGCATATGTTTCAAGGGACTTGGTGTATATAGCATACTGTTGTTGATATGTTTGCTCCCCTTGGCGCTATGTGTTTTAATCAAGGTCACCTCTCTGAGAGAGGTTGTTTCCCCAGGTAGGGATTTTTCCCTGAAGTTAGGGAGGGGATAAAACCCCTTAACTAAGTGCCAGGCGGGTAGTTAATCACTTTAACTACAAACAATCACCCTTAAGCTACATAATCTTTACTCCCTGGAATGGAGATAAGAAACGCCCTAACCTTTGCAATAGAAATTGACAGGATTAAAATCAACTGGTATAAATACAGATGTAACAAGACAATAAACACGAGAACTTTGCTGGAGATCCTGACCAGAACTTGGCTGGAGTTCTGGCTAGAGATCCTGGCTAGGCTGCTGATCAATTGAACGCTGTCTCTGTGTCATTCCTTCTTCGACTCCGTCCACACCTTTGGGGACCCTTGGACCTGTTGGGGTTGGACCCCAACATCTGGCGCCCGAACAGGGACTCTTAGATAAGTCCCCCATACTTGGGACGGATAGGACTGCACCGTAGGGTGCTGCAGATCCCCCCTATAGAGGATAAGTAGGGTAAGGGTGTAGTTAGTACAGAACTTAGATTGACAAGATCGGTCATACTGAGTCTATAGAAGAAAGACTCTGTATTAATCTTTTAATGCATATGCTTGCTAGCAGAGGAGTTAAGGTTACTCCCAGTCAGACAGAAAGTTTTATACAAGATGTATGTCAATGGCTTCCTGAGGATGGAACTGTTAATTTAGAAACTTGGACTAAAGTAGGAGAGCAATTAAAGAATTATTACAGCTACCATGGATCTGAGAAGGTCCCGGCAGATACCCTTTCCCTCTGGAATTCAATTCATGACACCTTGGCACCAGAGGCAGAAACGGTTGAACTTTCTCAAACTTTAAATAGTCCCTTGGCTCCAGCTCAATCTAAGAGCAATTTAGCTATGCCTACTGATTGGAAGGAGAATAAATATCATAAACATGACCATTGGTCCTTTCCAGTCAGTAGAGAGGAGAGAGGCCCTCCCATTCAAAACAGGCTCCCTAAATTAGAAAGGAAGCCTGAACCAGGTCCTGCGGCTCCTATGAGCTTCATGTCTAAATTTCAAAGGGCGATAAGAGAAGTTGAAGCTAATGGAGATCTTGAATTCTCACTCTGCTTCCCAGTTGCATATGAGAATGAGTTTGGTGAGGACGAAAACCCCACCTGGAAGTCTATACCTTACAAAATACTTAAAGAATTAAAATCGGCCTGCTCTGAATATGGACCTCTAGCTCCTTACACACAAACCTTGGTAGAAACCCTAGCCAGTAAATGGATGACTCCTTATGATTCGTCACAGGTTTGTAAAGCCTGTCTCTCAGGAGGCGATTACTTATTATGGAAAACTGAATATGATGATCTTGCTAAGAGAGCTGTAGCCACTAGCAAAAATTCCAGAGGAGGAATAACCCTAGACATGATATTAGGAGAAGGTGATTTTAACACGGCTCAGGAGCAAATGTATATGCCCAAAGAGGCACTTATTAAAGTAACCAGTTGTGCAGTAAATGCCTGGAAATCCCTACCTTATACAGTAGGAAAAACAACCACCCTTATAGAGGTTAAACAGAAGGTCGAGGAACCGTATCAGGATTTCCTTTCTCGCCTCATACAGGCAGTCAAGAGAGTAATCAGTAACGAAGAGGCAGCCGATATCCTAATCAAACAACTGGCTTTTGAAAATGCTAATAATACCTGTCAGGCCTTATTAAGGCCGATTCGCAGAACGGGAACTACAAATGATTTTGTAAAACAGTGTGCTGATGTAAGTCCAGCATTTATACAGGGTGTAGCTATAGCTGCAGCTCTCAAAGGGGAGACATACCCTCAATATGTACAGGGCATAGGACAAGCCAGCAATAATACAGGTAATAAACGATATATGAACTGCTACTCTTGTGGCTTATCTGGGCACTTTAGCAGAGAATGCCCAAATAGAAATAATAATACTCAAGCCAGATGGCAAGCTCCTCGACAGCCTGGAAATACATCAGGGAATAATATTAATCCTCCAAAAACCGTTTGTCCCCGATGTCAGAAAGGATTCCATTGGGCAAAGGAATGTAGATCAAAAAGCACAGTTCTAATGTCCATCCCACTTCTGTTGTTAACATGTTGTTTTTCTGGCAGCAATTTCAAAAAAATAACGTTCTTACCCGAGACTCCGGCATTCCTTTGGGCAGGGCCAGGAGTGGAAGAGGCAGTGGGCTGGGTGCTGTCATCTGCAGGGAGAGTGCAGCCAGTTAAAACGCCAGACACGGGCACCGCTCATGCTCACAGGAAGTCCATGCCAGCAGGCGTGTTGAGAAAAGTAAACTTCCAGAAAGCCTGTTCACAGGCTCTGTGAAATCAGGGCACAGTGGGGCTTTAAACATCTCTATGCTACTTATATAAACTGAGATAATATCTCCAGGAGCAATTTTGTGGTTCTTAGTGTAACAGAGGTATGAGGGTAAATGTTTGTCCTTCCGTTACTGCGTGTCATGGGCACATCAAACGATCGATTTTCAAGGTGGAAGGTTCTCTGTCCTGAAATGGCCGTGAAGGTCAGGAGTTCAGAGCCCCACTCTCACCCCTTAGAGACAACGGTTTTCTCGGGAAAGAAAAAGAAATAACAGAGAATGAAAAACGTAATGTCCATCTAGGGAAGCCATGGCCCTGAAGTCAGGTTTGTTGCTATCTGTGCTTTCACACATTTCTTTCACATCCTGACTCATTTCTATCAGATTCAGTGGAAACGAATGCATCCCACTGGTCTGGGAACACACAGGCCAGGCACACCTGTCCTCAGGACGCCTTACGTTTGAAACACCAGGAAACACAGTGAAGGGAGAGGAGCGCAGACGCACCCGGGTCCCCACAGGTGCGCTGGCAATCTGCCTCGCTTTCGAAGTTGTTTAGGTTCCCATCGCAGCCTCCATACCCGAACGCCTCACAGCGCCCGGAGCGGTGGTTGTAGAAGTAGCGCTTGAAGTATAAGCCGCAGGGCCCCATATCCGCATCCAGGAAGCAGAAGTCGGGCCGCTCTGGGGGTTGCACGTGTGTCAGAGAGTTCTCCTTGGAGTAAGTTACCTATTCCTATTAAACTAGAGGCCCAGTGCACGAAATTGTGCATGGGTGGGGGTCCCCTCAGCCCAGCCTGCACCCTCTCCAAACAGGGACTCCTTGGGGGATGTCCAACTGCCAGTTTAGGCCCAGTCCTAGCAGTTGGACATTCCTCTCACAATCTGGGACTGCTGGCGCCTAACTGCTCACCTGCCTGCCTGCCTGATCGCCCCTAAGTACCCCCCGCCCCCTGCCAGCCTGATCACTCCTAACCACCTCTGCCTGCTGGCCTGGTCACCCCCAACTGCCCCCCCTCTGCTGTCCTGGTCGCCACCAACTGCCCTCCCCTGCCGGCCTGGTTGTCCCACGCGGCCTGCAGTTCAGTCATTTGGTCGTCCCTCACTGACCCCTCTGCTGTCATCGTCGCACCACCCAGCCTGTTTGGTTGTTACTGTTACTGTGAGGGCATCCCGGAAAATATGCATATTCCTCTATTGTTAGTATAGATGGACACATCACTGGTTGTGCTGAAGTCATTTAAGGAGCAAACATGGAAAGTTAACAACAAGAGGTGAACATGGAACAACCACACAGCATGACAATGACCTGCGACATCGCCTGCGACATGTAGACTAAGGCAGATGCAGCTATGATCACACGTGGCTGCCACTGGGATTCCATGTCCTAAATTTCTCGCCATCAATGGGTGGGGCATTCACTACCAAGTCGTCCATGATTTGAGCAAATACGATACTGGGACATTTTACCCTCGGTTGGGAAGTATACAATATTATGGCTAAAATATGATTTACTTATTTTTTTAAATTAAGTTTATGTGTATCCACATTTAGGAAAATCTATCAATAGTTCATGTTTTTAGGTGTGAGGTCTCATGACGGGAAAGTGTAATGTGTTGCTTCACTAAGAAATTTCAATCGCCCAGCTGGTGTGGCTCAGTGGCTTCCACAAGCCACATAATTTTCATTCTTCAATTTTGTTGGAGACTGTATATTTGGCACTTGTTCCAAGTAAGCTTTCTTTCAAAAAAAATTCATGCCCACAGTCCTTAGATATATAAAGTGGTATTCCTATTTAATCTGTATACAAACACTAAATATCAACAAGAGCAATTACGCATTGGTAAACATCTCTACTTTTTCTTAATGATCGTCGACAACTAAAAGACATACGGATATTTATTGAGGGTCACATTGAATAAAGTTCACTAACGCCACACAACACTGAGATCATCCAGAGATACAGCTGAGAGCTAAGGTACGACTCGCAATATTGAAGTCACTCTGTGGGAGAGGTAGCAATATCCTGTGTGTGGCCCGAGTTGTAATTAATGTGCTTCTAAATATCATACGCTTAGGATGAGAGTAAACACAGTGTGTGAAGCCTTTCCTACCACACATTATGCCTGTTATTTCTAATTTCTTGTTGTTTCTACTAAAAACAATATTTCAGCCCTGGCTGGTTTGGCTCAGTGGATGGAGCTTCAGCCTGCGGACTGAAGGGTCCAGGGTTTTATTCCAGTCAAGGGTGCATGCCCGGGTTGTGGGCTCAATCCCCAGTGTGGGGCCGGCAGAAGGTAGCCGATCCATGATTCTCCCTCATCTTGATGTTTCTCTCTCTCTCTCCCTCTCCCTTCCTCTCTGAATTCAATAAAAATATATTTAAAAAATAATAACAAAAAATAAAAACACTATTTCAAAGTTCACATATATTTATCATGAACCTCATGTCAGAAAAACCTAAGAATTGAATACATAAATGAGTTATATGAATAAGTAAATTATACTAAGTAATTATACAAATCATACTAGTTATCTGATATAATAAAGAGGTAATATGCAAATTGACCATCACTCCAATACCCAAGATGGCTGCCCTCATGTAGCCACAAGATGGCCTGCAGGGGAGGGCAGTTAGGAGTGACCAGGACTGCAGGGGAGGGAAGTTGTGGGTGACCGAGCCTGCAAGGGAGGGCAGTTGGGGGCGATCAGGCCAGCAGGGGAGCGCAGTTGGGGGCGAATGGGATGGCAGGGGACCAGTTACGCATCAATCAGGCTGACAGGGGAGTAGATAGGGGGTGATCAGGCTGGCAGGCAGAAGCAGTTAGGTGCAATCAGGCAGGCAGTCAGATGAATGGTTGGGAGCCAGCAGTCCTGGATTGTGAGAGGGATGTCCAACTGCCCATTTAGGCCCTATCCTCGCGGGCAGTTGAACATCCCTTGAGGGGTGCCAGGTTGGAGAGGGTGCAGGCTGGGCTGAGGGACCCCCCCCAGTGCATGAATTTCGTGCACCAGGCCTCTAGTACTCATAATAACCACACAAAGGAATGTTCACCGTTTATCCATGATTTTACCGCCTCGTCACCTGAAAGAAAAAACAATAAATGCGTATCAGTTATCACAGTCGATGAAAGAATGCTGTGAATTCCAGGACGATGTGTTCATTATCATTAAAATTATTATCATGAAGAATGTCAATATATTTCTTTTGATGTTCTCTAAGCATTAAATTATTTTCAAGTATTGTAACCATGAAGCCATCTCATCTTATCATAATGATGTCTCTAAACCTATCTTCAAAGGTTGAACACATTTACAGAAATAATAGTGTATGGCAAACTACTTGAAATACTGGTGATTCAAGCAGTTATGGGCTACCACTTGCTTCTTTTGAGAATTTTATATGTTTCTTCTTCATTCATTGTAATATAGAGATTAAATTTTGAACATTTACTCCATCTTACGTGCCTTGCAGAAGCCACACTCAGTCATAATGTATCGTATTTATATTGCACTGAATTTGAGTTGCTGTTATTTTAAGATTTTGTGTATGACTGTATTTATGAGGAGCATTGGGTCTGTGGTTCTCTTTTGGGAATTGTGTTTCTTTGGTGTGAGAGTAAGTTAATGCTGACTTCATATCATGAACTGGAAAGGGTTCCCTCCTTTTCCATTTTCTGAAAGTCTGTGTTGGATTGGTATTGTGCTCCCTTAAATGTTTTCCAGAATTTACCAGTCAAGTCCTCTCGCCTTGCAGTATTCTCTGCTGCAAGTTTTTTATTCACAAACTTAATTTGTTTACTAGAGGGAGCGCTACCCAGGCGTTCTGTTCAACAGCAACGCCGAGTTCTCCCGGGAGGGAGCCTCTCTATGAGGAGAACCTAGTATTTACAGTTACCCAGGGCGATGGGATTATTTGAGGAGTTTTGGTGCGTTTTGTTTAGTAGATGTGTTCATTAAGGATAATTTACTTAAAGAATGATGCACATTGTTGTAGATTGGGTAATGTTTGGCTTTCAAGGATTTGCTGTGGTTTTTTCCAAGTTGTTAAATGTATTGGCACCAATTTGTTAGTAGGATTTACTTATTATCATTTTAATATTTGTAGATCCCTATGTATGCTTTTTCCTGATATTGGTCCTTTCTTCTTATTTATTGAGGTTTATTTCTATATGTATTTTTTATTTTTAAATGTTTTATTAAGTGTATTGGGATGACATTGGTGAACATGAACATAGAGGTTTCAAGTGTGGGTTTCTATGTTATAAGATCTTTATCATTTCTGTTTCTCTCTCTCTCTCTCTCTTTCTCTCTCTCTCTCTCTCTCTCTCATATCTACTTGGAACATTACTACTAGTATTGATTTAAATGGTACATCATGACCGGCCTGAGTACCATAGTGGGGCTTAGCGTCAACCTATGATCCCGAGGTCAGGTTTTGATTCCCGATTAGGGCACATGCCCGGGTTGCAGGCTCCATCCCCAGTGTGTGGCGAGTAGGAGGCAGCATATCCATGATTTTCTCTCATCATTGATGTTTCTATCTCTCCCTTTCCTTTTCTATCTGCAATTAATAAAAATTTTTTTTAAAAAAAGAAATATCTAACTGAAACTGAGGAATTCACTGATTCTCCTGTTTCTGACAGTGCATTCTTGGAAAATTTTGAAGTTGTGTGATTGGGGCGTAGACTTAGCCAGTGAGGATTACTGTGTTGTTTTGGTTCATCGGCCCACATTCTTTCTCTTATGAATGTTTCTGTCCTATGGTCTGTGTTTGTTAATCATTCTTAGGGGTGGTGCTTGTGTGGTCGGCCTTCTCTCACCCCTTCCCTTTTTACAGCTTGGTCTTTATTTTTAAAACTAGAGGCCCAGTGCCCAAAATTCGTGTATGGGGGGTGAGTCCCTTAGTCTGGCCTGCACCCTCTCCAATCTGGGACCCCTTGGACATCCCTTTCACAATCTGGGACTGCTGGCTCCTAACTGCTCACCTTCCTGCCTGCCTGATTGCCCCTAACCACTTCTGCCTGCCAGCCTGATCACCCCCTAACTGCTCCTCTGCTGGCCTGATTGACGCCTAACTGCTCCCCTGCTGACCTGATCACCCCCAACTGCCCTACTCTGATGGTCTGTTTGCCCCCAACTACCCTCCCCTGCAGGTCTGATTACCCACAACTGCCCTCACCTGGCAGCCATCTTGTGATGACATGAGGGCAGCCATCTTGTGATCACATCACCCGACGGTGTCGTGAGAGGGCGTGATGCCACCTAGGCTTTTATTACATAGGATATCTTTCCTGTAGTTAGTTCTTGATTGTTCTGTATTAAGTCTAATAGACGGCTGTTCATTGGAGTGACTGCAGCGTTGCATGGTACTGTCATGATCCCTCAGGTTCTGTAGAAATCGGTGTTGTTTGTTTTCTGCTTTCCATCTGTTCTTTGTTCCCGTGTCCCTCTTCCTGTCTCATAAAGTCTAAGTCCATGTGACTGATAATGTCTGTCTTGCAAGTCATAGCTGCTGAGTTACACTCACTTTCTTGCTGATATAAACCCTGTTCTGCAAACTAGAAGTTATTTCTGCCATCTTATTCTGAGGAAGAGCGTCAGACAGCAATGGGGCTCGCTCTGTTTTATAGTGACCTGAAAGTAGTGAGCAGGAATGCTGAAGATGTGAATGTCGTGAGAGACTAATGACTTGGGAGAAACGCATGTTGTTCTATAACATGACAGGCCATTATTTTAATTAAATAGTGTAATTCTGCAAAATGACTTTTGCCTAAAGTGACAAATGGTACCTCCCAAATGGAATTGGTTCGGATATGGGATGGTGTTTAATTAAAAGATTAATTAAAAACAAAACAGCGGGAACTGGAAAAGACGCTCAGCCAGGCCGCACACTGGTCTTCAAGTCCCGCTAGGTGCCCAGCTGGGGGCGTGCAGGAGGCAGCCCAGCAATTTCTCTGCTCTCTCTCTCCCTTCTCTCTGAAATCAATAAAAAATGTCTTTGAAAAGTTTTAAAAACAAAGCAAAACAAACAAAGAAAGAAACACCCCACCAAGTTCCTGCTCAATGGGAACTTCACATCAAGGTTCGATGACAGTCAGGAGCTGGGGGTGGAGGGGGGTGGCTGTACAGGTTACCTGTGCCGTCCGCGTCCTCCTCGTCCTCCCTCTCAGGAGCAGCGTCCAGGGGGCGGAAGGCACCGCTGAGCAGCAGACACACGGAAGCCCAGAGGAGGGTTGTCTTCCTCATCGCACCACGTCTGCAACACAAGCCGGGACCTGGTGAGCCACGTGTACAACACAGGCCGGGACCTGGTGAGCCATGTGTACAACACAGGCCGGACCTGGTGAGCCACGTCTGTAACACAGGCCGGACCTGGTGAGTCACATCTACAACACACCGGACCTGGTGAGCCACGTCTACAACACAGGCCCAGACCTGGTGAGCCACGTCTACAACACAGTCCAGACCTGGTGAGCCACGTCTACAACAGAGGCCGGACCTGGTGAGTCATGTCTACAACACAGGCCCAGACATGGTGAGTCACATCTACAACACAGGCCGGACCTGGTGAGCCACGTCTGTAACACAGACTGGGACCTGGTGAGTCACGTCTGTAACACAGGCTAGACCTGGTGAAACACGTCTGTAACACAGGCCAGACCTGGTGAGCCATGTCTGTAACACAGGCTAGACCTGGTGAAACACGTCTGTAACACAGGCCAGACCTGGTGAGCCACGTCTGTAACACAGGCCGGACCTGGTGAGCCATGTCTGTAACACTGGCCAGACCTGGTGAGCCACGTCTGTAACACAGGCCGGGACCTGGTGAGTCACTATTTGACAAAGGCAGCAAGAGCATACAATGGAATCAAGACAGTCTCTTCAATAAATGGTGTTGGGATAATTGGACAGATACTTACAAAAAAATGAAACTAGACCACCAACTTACACCATACACAAAAATACACTCAAAATGGATAAAGGACTTAAATATTAGAGAGGAAACCATAAAAATCTTAGAAGACTCCATAGGCAGCAAAATAGCAGACATATGTCGTAGCAATAGCTTTTATGATACAGCTCCTAGGACAATGGAAACTAAGGAGAAAATAAACAAATGGGACTACATCAAAATCAAAAGCTTCTGCACAGCAAAAGAAACCATCAACAAAACAACAAGAAAGCCCACTGCATGGGAGAACATATTTGCCATTGTTTTCTCCGATAAAGGTTTAATCTCCAAAATTTATAGGGAAATCATACAACTTAACAAAAGGAGATAAATGATCCAATCAAAAAATGGGCAAAGGACCTAAATAGACACTTTTCTAAAGAGGACATAAGGAAAGCCAAGAGACATATGAAAACATGCTCAAAGTCACTAATCATCCGAGAGATGCAAATCAAAACAACAATGAGGTACTATCTCACACCTGTCAGAATGGCCATCATCAACAAATCAACAAACGACAAGTGCTGGAGAGGATGTGGAGAAAAAGGAACACTCGTGCACTGCTGGTGGGAATGCAGACTGGTGCAGCCACTATGGAAGACAGTATGGAGTTTCCTCAAAAAACTAAAAATGGAACTCCCATTTGACCCTGTGATCCCACTTCTAGGAATATAGCCAAAGAAACCAGAAACACCAATCAGAAAGGATATATGCACCCCTATGTTCATAGCGGCACAATTTACAATAGCTAAGATCTGGAAACAGCCTAAGTGCCCATCAGTAGATGAATGGATTAGAAAACTGTGGTACATCTACAGGATGGAATACTATGCTGCTGTAAAAAAGAAGGAATTTTTACTATTTGCAACAGCATGGATGGAACTGGAGAGCATTATACTAAGCGAAATACCAGGCAGAGAAAGATAAATATCACATTATCTCACTCATTTGTGGAATATAATGAACAACATAAACTGATGAACAAAAATAGAACTAGACACATAGAAGCATCGAACAGACTGTACAACCTATGAGGGAAGGCAGAGGTGTGGGGGTAAGAGATCAACCAAAGGACTTGTATGCATGCATATGAGCATAACCAATGGACACAGACAGTAGGGGGCTGAGGGCATGTGCTGGGGGGAGGGGGTGTCAGGGAGAAGTCAATGGGAGAAAAAAGGAGACTCATGTAATTCTTTAAACAATAAAGAATAGTTTTTTAAAAAAAAGAAGAGATAGATAACCTAAGTAGCCCTATTTTAAAAATGGGATTTTGTAATTATAACCTTCCCACGAAGAAAACTCAGCCCCAGATGTTTTCACCGGTGAACTCTACCAAGCATTTAAAGGAGAAATAATAGCAATTTTACATCAACTTTTCTAGAAAATTTACCAGAAGGGAGGGCATACTTGAAATTTCATTCTGTGAGTTCTGAATTACCCTGATACCGAAACTACAGAGCAAAAATAAATTAATGATATCATTAACCCATTTTAATCAATATTATAATTCAACTTATTTAAGTTATACTAATAGGTAAGATTTAAAAAATAAACTATTCTGAGTACTTCCTTTCTCCTTTCTTTCTTTCTTTCTTTCTTTCTTTCTTTCTTTCTTCTTTCTTTCTTTCTTTCTTTCTTTCTTTCTTTCTTTCTAGTTTTTGGCTGTTTGCTTTTTTCTCCTTCTACTAGGTAGAGATATCAGTTGAAGTCAAAAATTTCTGACACTGAATTTAATGAACCATTCCTGAAGAACCGTTCTGTAACACACTTATGATTTTGTTAGGTTGCTGGGGAATAGATTGCTAGGGAATAAATAAAGCCTTTTGAAGTTGGCTTTTCCTGCCAGTAGTTTGTCATCCTGTCAAGTTATCCTTTGAATTGAATAATGTAGATATAACTGACATCAGGAATTTAATTCGTAAGGATAGAATAAATTAGTATTATGAAAACTATAGTTTAGTACAAAAGCAGTTTTTCAATTCATAAATCATTACTATTATTTTTAAATTTAGTAACAATAGATGATTCCAGTTGAAATAGTGCACAACCAACAAATACCGGCTATAGTGATAGGCAAACAATTGGACCAACAGCACCAACTGCTGGCATCATTCATTGAACAGGAGTCACATGTCCCACAGAGTTTTGATCTAGTAATTGGCAGTAAAACAAATCCTTAAAGATATCTGGCTGCACCTTAAAAAAATAAAAAATAAATAAAAGGCCCAATCCAGCCTCCCTAATAGAGAGAGGAGCCAAGTGGAAGTGTCATAAAGTCCGACAACAAGATCCCATGGTCACCAAAAGAAGACAAATGTGTTTCTTAGGTTCAGCATTTTAAAGCTTCTCTTATGTCTATAATGTTAATTATCTGTATTTACCTCACTACTGTTCATACTCTGCAGGCCCCTTTGAATATTTTGTTTCACTTTATCAGCCTATAGGCCCCAAATTAAACTTTCATACTCCGATAAATTTTCAAAGATATCATTCCCCCTTCAGTTTCAGGACTCAATGGAATATAGATAACATGTCTTGAAGTAATCATGGACTAGAGCAGTGATGGCGAACCTTTTGAGCTCGGCGTGTCCGCATTTTGAAAAACCCTAACTTAACTCTAGTGCCGTGTCACAAATAGAAATTTTTTGATCTTTGCAACCATAGTAAAACAAAGACTTATATTTTTGATATTTATTTTATATGTTTAAATGCCATTAACAAAGAAAAATCAACCAAAAAATGAGTTCGTGTGTCACCTCTGACACGCGTGTCATAGGTTCGCCATCACTGGACTAGAATGAAGAATTTAAAAGGAACCTAAAAATGGTTTTTGAAAGGATTTTGTTAGGTTAGAAAACTTGGCAATAACTTGAATTTGATACGGGGAGACCCCGCTGAGGTAAATATTATGCTTTCCCACATGAAGTGTGACTCTGGGTTGTATGTTTCCTGCTTGGCGTTGCCCTGCGTGTTTATGTTGTCATATATGACACTTGTTTTGTGACGAGTTCCCAGAGCTCTGAGTCAGAGTGGCTGTTGCTTATCTTTTCTTCTTCGTGCAGCTGCTGTCGGCCCTCATGTGTTGGTAAAACTCTCTTACAAGTGAGTGTATAAGTGAAGGTAGTGGTTTGGGTCATAGTTCGGTGGTCATGTACTGCCTTATTAGGTGCTTTCCTTTAAAAAATATTTTTACTGATTTTTTTAGAGCGAGGAAGGGAAAGAGAGAGAGATAGAAACGTCCATGAGAGAGACTCATCCATCAGTTGCCTCCTGCACGCCCCCTACCTGCAACTGAGGTCCATGCCCTTGACCTGAATCGAACCTGGTACCATTCAGTCTGCAGGCCGACGCTCTCTCCACTGAGCCACACCAGCTAGGGCTGTGTGCTTTCCTTTGCTACTAGAAGAAAGTTTCTAACCACCAAGCACATGACAGTACAGCATGTCGGTGTATATCTATTGCTTTAATTTACATACTTGCTATACATATAGACTTGATTACCTATCTTCTTTTTTTTTTTAACTAAATCTTTATTGTTCAGATTATTACATTGGTTCCTCTTTTTTCCCACCATAACTCCCCTCCACCCAGTTCCCACCCCACCCTCTGCCCTCACTCCCCACCTACTGTTCTAATCCATAGGTGCACGATTATTGTCCAATCTCTTCCCTCACCCCCCATACCCCTCCCTCCCCAAGAATAGTCAGTCCATTCCCTTTCTATGTCCCTGATTCTATTACAATCACCAGTTCACACTGTTCATCAGATTATTCATTCACTTGATTTTTAGATTCACTTGTTGATAGATGTGTATTTGTTGTTCATAATTTGTATCTTTACCTTTTTCTTCTTCTTCCTCTTCTGAAAGGATACCTTTCAGCATTTCATATAATACTGGTTTGGTGGTGATGAACTCCTTTAGCTTTTCCTTATCTGTGAAGCTCTTTATCTGACCTTCACTTCTGAATGATAGCTTTGCTGGATAGAGTAGTCTTGGTTGTAGGTTCTTGGTATTCATCACTTTGAATATTTCTTGCCACTCCCTTCTGGCCTGCAAAGTTTCTGTTGAGAAATCAGCTGACATTCGTATGGGTACTCCCTTGTAGGTAACTGATTTTCTTTCTCTTGCTGCTTTTAGGATTCTCTCTTTGTCTTTTGCTCTTGGCATTTTAATTATGATGTGTCTTGGTGTGGTCCTCTTTGGATTCCTTTTGTTTGGGGTTCTCTGCGCTTCCTGGACTTGGAAGTCTATTTCTTTCACCAGGTAGGGGAAGTTTTCTGTCATTATTTC